TAATCTTATACTAAAAGCTGTGCACTATATACCTATTATAATGGTGAAAATCTGAAACACTGAAAACACCAAATACTGGCAAGGATGTGGAGCAATAGGAACTTTCATTCAATGCTGGTAGGAATACAATATGGTATGGCCACTTTGGAAGACAGTTTAGCAGTTTCTTACAAAACTAAACATGTTAAATAAAAAAAAAAACAAAACTAAACATGTTATTACCATATGATTCAGTAATAGTGTTCCTTGGCATGCCCAAATGAGTTGAAAACTTATGTTCCCATAAAAAAGCTTACACAAGAACTTTTATAGCAGGTTTATTCATACTGTGAAAGCCTGGAAGCAACCAAGATGTCCTTCAATAGTTGAATGGATAAATAAACTGTGGTACATGCATACAATGAAATATTTTTCAGTGCTAAAAAGAACTGAGATATGATGTTATGAAAAGACATTGAGAAACTTTAAATTCACATTACTAAGTGATAGAGGACAATCTGAAAAGGCTACATACTGTTTAACACTGACTATATTACATTCTGAAAGACAAAACTTTGGAGACAGTAAAAAGGTCAGTTGTTGCCAAAGGTTGGAGGAATAGAGGAATAAATATAATAGTTGGAGCAAAGAGGACTTTTAGGGCAGTGAAACTATTCTGAAATGATGCTATAGTGGTAGATACATGTTATTATACATTTGTCAAAACCCAAAGAATGTACAGTACCAAAAATAAACTCTAATGTAAGCTATGTACTTGGGGTGATAGTGATGTCTCAATGCAGATTCATCAACTGTAACAAACGTACCTCTCTGGTATGGATGTTCACAGAGGGGGAGGCTTATGCATGTGTGGGGACAAGGGACATATAAAAACTCTATGTCCTGTCCACTTAATTTTGCTGTGAACCTAGAACTTCTCAAAAAACAAAGTCTATTAAAAAAAAGTTGTGCACATCTGAGCCACATGATATACTATGATTAAAATTTTTTCTTGAACAACTTTTTGTTTTCTTGAAGTTGATCATTGCTTTTTGTCATCAGTTTTCTACATTTTGAACATGAATTCTTCCAAACTCCCCATTACCACTGTAAAATCACAATCAATTTTATTCTTCATGTTCAAACACATCATACTCTATCTGACACATTTTTTTTCCTGGAGACTTTCCTCCTGAAAGCCGCCATTTTTATGCTGAACTCTGGACTGACTGCTTTCTAGATGAGCTGCCCAAACTTCATCCTTTGAATTCCTTTGACCTTAATTCTCGAAATTCCCTTCGCCTTTTTTTTTTCTTAAAAACTTTACTTTTTTCAAGAAGAGTCTCTCTTTGCTTTTCTCCTGGATGAAATCCTTTATTTCTTGGATCCTCTATACTCCTTTTTCTTGATCTACTCGTTCATTTTTGTGGAGAATATCTTCCAGTTCTCTTCTGAGAAAGGATGTAAATAAATAAATTTTTGAGACCTTGTATCTTCATTCTGCACTCATTTGATTGTGAGATTGGATAAGTCCAAACTTTTAGGTTGAAAATAATTTTTCCTTAGACTTTTTTTTTTTTAGTGTCCTCCTTTCATGTGGAATCCTCAGACTTTTGAAGGTAGAATTTCAAGGTTGATCAATACAGA